TGTAGCTTAGAGACTTAACAATTCCTGGTCCTTTACACTTTAACTCAGTTTCTTTTATCCTTTCACCAGTTCCACCCAAGAGGTGTATTTTTTCATCAGAAGAGCAAGATTTCACAAGCACACAATCCACAAAGTCCCCGTGAGCTCCTTCAGAGTCCCCTGGATGGTGACTTGAGACCGTTGTCCCATCAGAGTGGCTGTTGAGCGGGGGTGAGGTGTGCCCAGCACCTCTGAGGCCTGGCGTTCCATCCCCAGAGCCTTGAAGTAAAAATAAAAGTGGCTGATCCCTCAAACCAGACGAGAGCGCCCTGCAGAAGGCAGGCAGCTCCTCACGGAGGTGGCCCTGCGTCACCGTCACCCCACAGTCTTCCTGGCACACAGCCAGCAGCGTGCAGCTCTGGAGACCCCAAACTTCCAGACAGAGTTCTGCCCTGGAGCCCAGGGGCTGCTGAGCCACCTGTGGCTGCAGCGTGGAGCTCAGAGGTCACCGAAGCCCCTTGTGGGCCAAGCTTGTCAGCTTCACGGGAAAATAAAAGGAAAATAAAAAGCCCCTGGAAACGCTTCCTCCGAGAGGCCGGCCTGGAGCTCGGCACCTGGATCCAGAGCACAGAGAGACCAGCCTCCGGGTCTGTCTGATGTCACCGAGCTGGTGGCCCTGGCTGGCTGTCGCTCAGCAGAACCCTGCCGGCATGGAGGGCTGGGCCACGCTGTGCTCTCGAACCAAGGATGTGCTGCTGCACAAGAAGGACCGGCAGGGACCACGCCGCTTCCCGGGTCTCAAGGACCCCCAACAGCCAGAACCTTCAGGAGGAAGGCTTGGAAAGCAGCCGCGGAACGTTCTCCCACGCGGTGAGAGCACCTGTGGCTCTCCTAGCACACACCCTCCACCCTGCCGTCCCCACCGTCATCGCTCTTTCCAAGACACAAGCAGAAGCCCCAACAGTGTGGATTTGGGGAGTGAGAGCACTAGCAGGGCTGGTGCTGGGCAAGGGCGTGGCTAAGGGCTCCGTTGGTGTTCTGCCCTGGCGGAGGCCTGGTGGAGGCTGGCAGAGGCTGGTGGAGGCTGGTGGAGGCTGCACTGCTGTGGTGTGCCACCTGCACTGGCCAAGCAGGTAGTGAGGCTAGGAGGCCCAATCCCAGGTCTCGCCTGCTCACCCAGAGCACATACTAGTTGGAAACATGGAATGAGGACATGGCTTTAACAAATTAATTGACTTTTTAGCAAATGGAAGTATCTTAGAAAGTTCATTTGACTGCTATTATAAAACAACGAACATAGTCCTCCCATGAGGAAGTTCCTGTTTGAAAGCTGGCTGGGTGCCCTTTGCTGATGGCCCGTCCTCCAGGGACAGCCATGGAGTGTCTGTGGGCCCACGGCCCTGGCTCTCTCCATCTGCAGAGGACACACTGGTGACGGAGCCTCCCATGCACACCTCTGAGCTCTGCTCGTCCTGTTCGTGGATGGAGGGACCCGGTCTCACCTGCTTCTGCAAGGCGGGCTCTCCTGTTGCCACTGTGAACTTGGCCGAATGCCTGCCTTGGCACCTGCTTTCAGACATCCCCAAACACGCAGACACTGAGGAACAGCTTCACGTCGGGACAGGAAGCAGAAAACGCCCCGAACCTATGGGTTTGACCCCTGAGGTGCCAGGACGGAGGGAGGGCAAACAGGACCCAGCGGTGCCCCATGGCACACTTCTCAGCACTCTGACAAACACCTGGGACAAGGACCTGAAGAGCGGGGGCTGTGCAGGTCACAGAGCTCCCCACACAGTGCCTGGCCGCGTTGCAATGGGCCTGAGAAGAGGAGGCAGAGAGCAAGGAACGGGCCAGGGACAAGGCAGGGTCCCCAGGTCTCCCCAGTGACCTGTGCCCCCCCATGCCCGATCCCCTTCAGTTTCCACAGCTCCCAGCAGACCGCTCAGCCGTCAATGGATTGATCCACCCGTGAGGTCAGAGTCCACGACCCCATCACTGCCCCTTCTCGGAATGTGGCTGCACTGGGGACCACACCTTCAGCACACGAGCCTTTGGGGACACTCCAAGTCCCCTCAAGTTGTCAAACCCAGTGAAATCACGAAGAAGGTGCAGAGGCTTGAGGGACCCTCACAGGCAGAGAGAGGTGGAGAGGGGTCACCTCAAGTGGCCTGAGCCTTGCCCCAGGGCAGCAGGGCCCCGGGATGCAGCCGGAAGGGAGCCTAACAGGAGGGGCCCAGGAGAGGCCTTGAAGGAAGAGCAGGAGCTGGCCCAGACCCTGGGGAGGGGCCAGACACCCAGGACCTCCTGCAGGTGGGGCAGCACTGCTGGGGACACGAGCTCCGCCCCGAGAGAAGGCCAGGGCTGGACTGCAGCGCCCCCAGGGAGGGCTCAGGCTGCACCCTGGAGACCCACCCCACCGGGGCCCAGGAGCCCCCAGGCAGCTGCACAACAGAACACTCAGTCTCCGGGAGGAACCCGTGAGGAACCCGTGCCAGGGGAGGTGGGGCTTGGAGCTGGGACCCCCGCAGAAGTGCTGCCAGGGCCCCAGGGGGACAGTGGGCTGCCCGGCTGAGCCCTGGCTGGCACTGGCCAGGAGGAGGGCCCAGGCCAGGCCACCTGGAACTGCTGTTCCTCTGGGGCAACTCTGCCAAGGGAAGGAAGCTGCCGGGCAAGGCCACAGGGCCGGGGCTGGGAGATGTGCTCCCCCTGTTCCTGGGAAGCCAGTGGGATCCCTGGCAAGAGCCATGGCTTGGCCACCCCAGCCTGGCCAGCCAGGACAGAAGCGGAGGTGAAGCTCAGGTGATCACAGGAGGCTGGGGGCAGCACAGCCAGGGCAGCAGGGGACAGAGCCCACCAGGGAGCACTGCATTAGTGCCCGCACAGCTGGACCGCGGTCCTGGCCAGGCAGGCCACACTCACCCATGCCCAGCCAAGGGGCTGTACCCCATGTGCCAGAATCCCATTTTAACATAACCCCAAGTCTCTGCAAAAGACTCTAAATGCACCCTGAGATCCACCATTGCAGTTCGGCTCTGGGAGTTGAGATTTTAACATTTTTTCCCCTCCTTCTTGTATCTGTTAAGTGTTTCCCAAATTCTACCTAATTAACATGGAATGCTTATGTCATCGCAGGAAAACAAGATTGTTTCATGGTTGGTTGGCTTTAATAAACTAAGCTCAGGTATAGCCTGTGACCAACAAGTGGGTCTGTCCTCCCAGCAGACTGTGGGTCCTGTCTGCACGCAGGGCAGTGGCCCGGCAGCCCCAGGACGAAGGACCACTCAGAACCTCAATCTCTGGGCGTGCAGGCCAGGCGAGACCCGGATCACGTGACCTAAAGCCTTCAGAAATCACTGGCACAGGCCACGGTGCACCCCACACTACCGTGAGCCAGGCCTGATTCTCAGGGATCAGCGTGTGGTGGCCTCTCAGCCGGAGCGGCGGGCTGTTCAAGGTATTGCCGTTTCCATGAATTGGCCAACGCGAGGCCCTCTGTGTGCTACTTACCAGGATCAGCTGCCCAGAGTGGGTTGGTGTGTGTTTGTGGAATGCTCACTGGTGCACACTCGGGACGGGCGTCAGCCTGGGAGTCCACATGCAGCACAGCCCCCCGCAACTGCCACTCTGCTTTATTCCCTTGACTTCAAGGGGCCTCTTTTCAACCCGTAATTCCCACTTGAAGGAATCCTGCCTGGTGGCCGCGCTCCTCATCCCAGGGTCCGCACGCTGGGCAGTGTCTGGAGCTCGTTGTCTGCGGCTAATGACCCCACACACTACTGCGCTCCTTCGCCTTCGTTATGTGGACCCAGATTTCTTCCATTTTGCGTTGTTCTGTTCTATTACCCCATGGCCTTAATATGATGTTCTTATGCACCGATCATTAACATTCCAATTAATTTTCTTGTGTTCAGGGAATTAAACCCAGGGCCTCACACCAGCTACATCTGACAGTCCCAGCAGGACGGGGGAGTACAGGTGTGCAGCCTGCATGGAAGAGGGTGCTCCGCTCAGCCACTGCGGGCCCGCAGGCCGGGGTGTTCGTGGCCACACACCCTCTGCAGAGCTGCCCAGCTCTCCCTCCACGCCTGTGTCCAGCTCCGTCCACTCACCACTATCTTAGGGCAGAGCACTTGGGGTGTGGCCACACCCCACTGCCAGCTTCTCCTCCCCCTTGGGGACCTTCTTATCCTTGCTAATGGTGGAACTTCAGGCCATAGGCCTGCAGGTCCAGGAACCCGACAGCCAAGAGGAGGGCGCCTCGGCTGCTGCCGTCTACAGTGGGGACACCACAAGGCACCAGCAACACTTCCTGAGACCAGCTCATGGAAGGGAAAGTCTGCTGCTGACAGATGGATTCAGACAGCATCTAACTGCTCGGCCCCATCGCCTTCAGCAATCCTCAAATTATTCATTTAGCACGGTTGGAGGAGCGCGCAGGAAGCCAGGTGCCTTAGCTGTCGTCTCACTAGTGTGTGGTCCCCTTACCCTTACACAGGAGCAGGATGCTCTTCACAAGTCCTCGCAAAGAACACCAGCCAGCTTCCTGCTTTTCAGTCCTCTCGGCTACTGCCTAGACAGAGGCTCCAAGACAAAGCGACTGGGCAGCTCTGTGGGGTCAAGGAGTCTCCGGCTTCACCCTTCTGCTGACCGCACAGGAGGCCCCAGTGAAAACCTGGACACAGAGGAGGGGCACCTTGGCCCGGCTTCCCTTCCCCAGACGCACCTGTGACTCCCAGAGAGAGGGTTTGCTCTCCTGCATGCTGAAAACCCACACCACACACACCACGCGTGCCCTAGTGCACACACCCACCACACCACACCCTCACAATGTGCCCTAGGTGCACACCACACACACCACACATGCCCTAGTGCACACAAACACGCATGGATTCAGATGGACTCAGACAGCATCTAACTGCTTGGCCCCGTCGCCTTCTGCAATCCTGAAGTTATCCATTTAACGCGGTTGGAAGACCATCATATAATTTTTAAAATTTTTCTTTCATTCAGTGATAAACAAAACCACGGTGTATTTGTTCAGGAAATGTTAAGCAGCTGCAATGAGCCAGACACAGCTTCAGTGTCTAAGGGACACCAGGGAGGGAGCGCAGCACGGTCCGGGAGCCGCCCAGGGCAATGCTAAGGGAACACAAACCTAAGGACCCTGTGCAGCGGGTGGAAGGGCGCAGGGAGGCCCGGGGCACCCAGAGCCTTCCACATGGGCAGGCAGAAACAGAAGAGATGGCTGGGCAGGGAGAGGCCAGGGAGGGTCTGATGGAGGCCACAGGGCCCCTGTGACCCAGGGGACCCCTCCTGTGCCTGGGGCTGGGAGCTTAGGTGGGTCAGGGCCATGTTGAAAGGAAACCACATGGGGGCGCCAGAGCAGGAGGTCCCATCCAGGTCCCTGCAGAGTGGGCGGAGCCCCAGCCTGGGACCTGCCCAGAGCCAGGCGGGGGCAGTTCAGCCAGGCACACTGTGCAGCAGTTGCAGGGCACGTCCAGGAGATTGGCTGGTGATGATTCATGGCGACATTAACAAGATGACCTTTACTTACTCTTACCTAGGAGAGCCGTGTCCCCAGAGCAGAGCCTAAAGAGGAAAGCCTCTCCGTTTAGGAGCGTCCTCTTCACGTGTGCACCTTCTCCACGTGGACGTTTCCTACTTCGTTCCCACCAGTGCTTGCGTGAACGTCCTCAAAAGCTCCTGTGTGAACGGCCCACTGGTCACCTCTTCAGGATGAAGTCCCTGCAGTGACCAAGAGCACACTGTTTCAGGTTCTCGACCACACGGCCGACTGCCTGCCAGGAAGATGCCGCGGAAGACCCCAGAGGCACAGGAAGGGGGCTTCCCCAGTCGCCCCGACGATGCCAACCTGGGGGATAAGGGGGTGTGTGATCTGATCAGCATCACGGTATTGGATCCTTGCACAAATGAACTGATCAATAAGGAAACGAAACTACCCAGCAGGGAGGGTCCCACCAGCATCGCCAACATGGATAGATGTCTTCTTTCCTGTGGTTCCGTAAGGACCCTGTGAACACCCTGCACACGTCACGTAACTTGCAACCACAGTGTAGCCTCAATTTTAAATGCACTTTTTTCCTGGTGTCTTCTAAATGCTTTCTTCATTTCTCTTCTGTGCTCTACCTCCTAGTCTGAAACCACCATGTGGATGGACATTGTTATTGATATTATTAAGCAGGCAGCTTGTGATCGGTAGGAAAAGAGGGGGAGGCCAGCGTCCCCAGGAGTCCACAGCCTCCTGTGGAGTTGAAGTGAGAGGAGAGGAGGGGTACTCGGGGGCCTCGGGAAAGCCCACGGCTGAAACCAGAGGCCACATCACGCAAGAGCGGTGACCCAAGCAGAGTCGGCGTCAGAGGGGCTTCTAGAAGCCACTGTCACACCAACGTGGCTGGAGCCACATTGATGAGCAAAGCCAGAGATGAGCAAGGACCCAGTAAAAGTGCAAATATGATTGGCCACAGATTAGGGGAAACTCATCAGCCCTGGAATAAGGTCAAAGGAAACTCAAAAACACAATGAGGTAGAAAATAGGACAGGACAATTGGCACCAGAAAGGTCACATCAGTGCGCAATGAGGGCCCAGGTGCCTGTCAGGAGGACGGGCCGTAAAAGGAGGAGTTTATCAAAGAAATAATAGAAGTTTATCCTGAGTCAAGAGAAAGCATCCCTCCACATAGAGGAAGTCCACCCACAGGTGGGTGGCTCACGAGTGCCATCTTGGCAGTACCCAAATGTGGGGTCAAACGTTAATCTGGATGTTTCCACCCTAAAGGGTGGCTACAAAACACAGTCATCACTGGCGGGACAAGAGCAGAAGCTGCCTTTGGAAGCGACACTTGGACACTGGACACCATCATCTTTGGACATGCTACTGAAGTCCTCAGCCACTGCAATAAATCAGGAAAAACGAGAGAACAGTGTGCAGATCAGAAAGAAAGAAAGAAAACTGTCATCACAGATGGTTCAAATGTGAATGAAACGAACCCAAAACAATCTAGAGGAAAATTCTTGTAAGGGGTAAGGATTTCACGGAGCTGTGAGGTGATGCATCGGTATTCTATACATCAAAGTCGACAAAGACAGAATGGATTTTGGAAAGGTAACACTGAAAGTATCCTCAGCAAACAGCATTATGAAAGGGGGGACAAATCATTGAAGGACACATAGACTGCTACTCAGAAGGTTTCAGTCACAGACACCAGGAAAAGCTTTGGTACACCAAGGTTCGTTCCAGGAACAAGGATAAAAAGCCAACATGGTAGAGGGATCATCCCCAGATCCACCTGTAGACTCC